AGAACAAACTGATGGTTGCTGGAGGGGAGGTGAGAAGCGGGATGGGCGGGATGGGTGATGGGTATTAAGAAGGGCCCTCCTTGTGATGAGCACTGAGTGTTATATGTATATGCTTATAAAAAAAGATGTCAAATCATGTTTATACAACACAGAAAATTATTTTGGATGATAGGATTTAGGGATATTATTCAAATTTTATTTTAATTTTCTTGCATTAATTTTTAAAGTATATAACATTTTATGAACCAGCAAAGTTGTAATTTTTCACTACAAAAAGATTAAACCGAATAAAATACACTGGCATGAATCCTAGAAGTTGGGCTCAGTAAAGACATTCATTAAAAACCCCTTAGAGATAATCCATTAGAAGCTTAGATTTGTTTAGCAAGTCCTTTTTAAACTCCTACTGTGTGACCAGGTAGGAAAAAGTATAATTAAAAACTGGTTTAGCTCAATGACCCCTAATTCAAGGAACCTACATTTCAGTTAGGGAAAAATGTGAGAAATTAATACAAAACAAGTGGAAGGAGGGAATATCATTAAACAACTTTTTAAAATGTTTACAACCTGGGCGCCTGGGTGGCTCAGTTGGTTAAGCGACTGCCTTCGGCTCAGGTCATGATCCTGGAGTCCCTGGATCGAGTCCCGCATCGGGGTCCCTGCTCGGCAGGAAGTCTGCTTCTCCCTCTGACCCTCCCCCCTCTCATGTGCTCTCTCTCACTCTCTCTCTCTCAAATAAATAAATAAAATCTTAAAAAAAAATAAAATAAAATGTTTACAACCCATCCTGTAAGTGCCCTGAAGACCATGAGATGAAAATGTACCAGGGTTAGCTCAGAAAGCTCCATAGGGGTAGGTTTAAAATGAGTTCCATCTTTTGCTAAGGCCAGGAGAAACTAATAAGGCAAGAAAACATATCCTTCAAACCCTATTTTCAGCCGTCACCAACCTTTCATCTCACCAGCTACGGTTTCTACTGCCTTTTTACTTGGTGATCTAATATTTACTGTGATACGAATTTGCAAGACCTTTGACAAAAGAGCCAGTAGATATTGTTAGCATTTGTTTGTATGCTTATCAGAATAGTGTTTCTACCATGTATGATGTAAAAATGGGTAACAGACGTATTTTTATTTTCACATCATTAGAGAAATAGTCTTTAGACCCATTAATTTATTCAATTGCACCCACTCACTCTGTTACCATGTCTATTCAATCAGAGAGCTACTCGTAGAAACAGTGTCATAATTTTCATACATAACCCTGGACAAGAACAACCAAACCAAACCAAACAAACAAACAAACAAAAAACTACGTTAGAAGTAATGGGTTCCCATGCTAAGTGATATATTTCTCATAAAAGTTTCAAGATCACCATCAGAAGAACTAGAATGACTGAGGGATACAAAAGTTCAATGATTTTTTAAAAAGACTTATTTGTTTTAGAGAGAGAGAAAGAGCAAGTGAGGAGAGGGGCAGAGGGAGAGAATCTTCAAGCAGACTTCCCACTGAGTGCATGACCCTGAGATCATGACCTGAGCTGAAACCAAGAGTCGGACGCTTAACCAACTGAGCCACCCAGGCGCCCCCTGGTAATTTTTTATTGTGTGCTCCTCACCTTCTCCAGGGAAACTGGCATATGAAGGGACCTGAAGGAGGTTTATGGTGCGTTCTTCCCAGTGTCCTCAGGGAAGTGCACCAGGCCCTGGGCTACATGCATGAGATTCCAAGACCCAAGTGAAATCTATACCTGAATAGGGTGACTAGCCTGCAGTTTGACTGAGTAATTGCCACAGACCAAAAGAAAGTACTTAGGGGACAATGAGAAGTATTTTATATCCTGTTCGGGAAATCTCACAACAAGGATGACAATTTAGACTTACACCCTACCCTCTGATTTTGACTGGATTTAGTTTCAGGGTTACCAATTTAAGTTAGAAAAGATTTACACCATTGGTTTTAATTCAGAATGGTTTCAACAGGTTAGGAGTTATATACAGTTACCTCTACCTAGAGAAGGCAATGATGTGGTTCAAAGCATATTTCTAAAACTCTATGAATTAGACGTCTAACCCTGATGGGGAAAACACAGGGGAGAACCAGCTCTCCCTGTCTGGCTGGCTCCTGGGTGTTGCCTGGGTTCATCTTTCTTTGCACTGTATCTGCAGCTATACAAGAATGACCCTCCCCAGGAGCATAGGACCACTTTTATTTAAGGGTGTGTAAGCATGCTGAAACCTACAGGATGCCTCATTCATCCAACTTACTATCCCTTCAGCTACTTAAACATAATTCATTCAAAACTCATCCAGCACCTACTAAACGAGAAGGGCATAATGGGTGTGGTGAGGACCTCAAAGACAGACAGGAAGGTCACTGTATCCAAGGAATTAACAACTTAATGGCAAAGAGGGGAGAGCAAAATATAAATAAATATGCCTTAAGGAATCTTAAATACCATTCCGATTCGAAAATGCTTCACAGCATTGAGATTCTTTTACTCTGTAAGATTCCTAAGGTCATAGAACATCAAACATACTACTTTCTAAAAGAGACATGGGGCATTGTCTAGAAATGGTTACATTTAAGGCTCTTTCTTTCATTTCATTCTTCCATTTTTTCACTTTCTATTTTACAGTGCTGGGCCTCTACTGGAAGTTTCATAAGCCCCACTGACTTCATTGGCACAGAATAAGCCACTCCCCCCAGTTGCTTGCTGCTTAGGCATCACTCCCATCGCCTTCCCAGTAATCACCGTCAGCTTCTCTTTGGCAGTTTTTTACCTTAATTGACTTATTTTAAGTCCCATCTTCTTCTTCCATCTGCCCTGATTTTACAGGATCAGACAGGAAATCAGAGTTGCTAGCTCTCTCTTCTATGGGTAACTAGTGAATCTGCATTTTAACGCTTACGGTGGACTTGTGACGTCACAGAGCACCCTGCCACTCCTCAGTGGTGCCTGCAGGTCTGTGGTATGGGCTGGATGACACGACATTTGGACCCCCAAGATAACGGTTTAGACCTCGGAGCTAGCTATGCCTTGGCTAGTATCTTAGCCATGTCATTTATGGGAAACCTCCTTAACACCCTCTGGGCCTCAGTTTCTTCAGCTGAAAAATGGGAATAATTCTACTGTACATAATTGAAGGCAGTACTAGACGAGATGAGGTACCTAGACCATTGCATTAAATATGGGCAGTGACTATGATTTCACTTCTACATCCCTTCACTAAGGTAGCTTCATTATTCTATTATTTTGCAGTCTTCAAAAAAAAAAAAAGCAGGTTAAAATGAACACAGTGGTCTCCTTTATCAACTTTTTACTTTGCTAACAAGTCAGCTGAAATACTCTGACAATACAGTTTTAGCATGTAAGATGGTTATTGCCACGCAGGGCTTCTCGGTAACAACAGTTAGAATACAAGAGCTCCTGACTAAAGACCGGAACACCTGACAGGATCCTGAGGACATAATACACACTCTTCTTGACTCCCAATCCTGAAGTTAGCCAAGTAATTAAATAGGGAGGCCCCTGTGCCTTGATTTTTTTTTTTTTTAATTCATGATACGGCACTGACTTCACTGACGTTGGTAGCAGGCCATTTTTATCCGAAGGTCACTGACTTTTAAATTACTTAGGGTATCATAACATGGCGTTTTTTTAGTACATTCTTTACATATCACTCTCCCATTATAGTTTTCTATTTTAGAAGCTACTCCTATTAAAGTACTTACTTTACAACCCCCAAAAGACTAGAAAAAAATCACAACAGTGTATCTGTAAGTGAGGTTATATACAAACACACATGCATACATTTTGGGCTACACAAAAATTATAAAATTATTTAGCCTTGGAAATAATGCAAAAGAGGTAATTATGCTCCATGCCAAGAATGTAAAACAAAAATAAATTCTGCCTCCCTAAAGAGATCTTATCTAAGGATATATAAATTCTATTCAAAGACTTTTTATTGAAAGCATGCTCCCAGGATTTAGCAAAATTCCTGGTATACAACAGGCAATCAGTAAACCTTTACTATATATAACTATCTCTCTCTATATATATATATAGAGAGAGAGAGAGAGAGAAAGAGAAAGTAAAACTCTTGCTTGAATTTTATAAACAGATGAACTGCAAATAAGAATTGCCCTAAGTTGTCAAGAAAGTACATGGCAGAACCAATAATAAAGTTCAGGTCAGTAACATTGTAGTTTCCACCAACCATTTTATAAAACATTACAATGATCCAGGTCATTATCATTACCCTTCCTCAGAGGTGAAATAACTGAGAGAGAGAAATGAAGCCAGTAGGTCCAGACATCCAACGAGGCAGGTTCGGTAGAGAATTACAATGTTCAGCCCTGGGTATGTTTATTTTTGTCTCTTTAATTCTCATGTTACATTTTCCCTGAATGCTGCTGTTGAGTTCCTGACACAAGTGATCAGGAAGGAAATCTGCAGAAGAAAAGCTGGTACTGACTTGCAGGACCCAGGGACGGTGTCTCCTACACTTCTCAGCAATTTTACACTGTTTTTCCGACAAGCACTACTGAATATTTCAAGCAGCACGGATGACAAGCAAAGCACAGCAGCTTTACTGAAGCAGACCCCAATGACAATGTCCCTGACGGCTGAATGAACTCTTTACCAAAAGTTGCATTTTCCCCCCCAATACAGTATATTCCAATAAACTGAAACCCAGTTGCAGGAACAAAACATGGCACGGTAGATAAAATCATGACTTGGCAGATCATTTCTTGAATACAGTGATCACTTTAAATCTCCTACCTTTACCCAATAATATCATTTGCAAATTAAGCCCAATCTCTTGGAACTGTATTTTCTTATTTGGTATCCTTTTTGGTTTCGACAAACTGGGAAGATTTTTAAGTTTCCTTGTTAAACCATTAAACCATTTGTTCTAAGAATTTTCCATCATTTCCTTGAAAAAGATATAAATCTCTAAAATGTGAAATGTCATAGTCTATTGAACACTCACCCAAACCAGACTTTTTTAATCGTTTTAAGTGCTGACTTGTTTGTTTTCCAGTGGGAGATTTTTGCCCATGTTTCATTTCTTTATCTGAACTGTCTGCTTCACCATTTTTAGATTCGGATCCTAAAAAAGGAAATAGTTATTATGTCATTATCTTCCTCTTGCTGTCCTTGAAAAGAAAAATCTAAAATTATTTCAAAAACCATAGATATAATCTCCTTTTCTATAAGTTAATTCACTACCTTTGGCCACAATCTGATTCCTCTGCTGGGTATAAAGAGAAAAGCCCAATAAATCAATCAAACAGAACAAAAAGCAAGAACAGATGGCCTAATAGTGGAGTCAAAAACACATTCACTGATCTGATAGCTTTTAAAAGAAACACTCAGATCTTTTGTAAAAACACACAGATAAGCTTTGACAATTCTATACAGTTTAGAGACGATGCAAGACAGAGATAGAAATGTGAAGGAAGAAGAGAAACTTGAAGAGAAGGAGAGATCATACCTTTCTAAATAACTTTACGTGGAAACAGGAACAGAAAATGCAAACACCAATCTATAATAAATAGAATGGTACAGAGCTGATAAAGTGACAGAAGGTAAATTAGAAGAAAAGGTCAGGGCTTCACTGAGGTGAGAAGAATGTTCCCAGAACACAGAAACTAATAAAGGATGCCTGATTTTGCAGCAGAAGACTGAAAAACAAATTCACACTCACGGAAGAACTGTTTCTGATGGCATTACACATCAGCATGTGGTCCACCATTAAAGTTCAACATTCAAACAAAAGCCAAGGCAACAACAAAAAAATCCACAGAGCAGTACCACACATTTTCTTACACCTATTGACATTAGCAAATGAAGTCCTTTGATGATGAGCGAGCTGGTGCCTTTTATTTATTTATTTATTTTTTAAGAGCGAAATGCCCTATTATTTTGGACTCCCTGAAAGAGTCAAAAGTATAAAAAAATTAAAATGAAACCTCAAGTAGAAATATTATTCGGTTGTAGAGAAAATTCGTGCCATCTCTCTCAGTGAAGAAGTCTCCTCCGGGAAGAAACTGGCCAAGCATACAATATTTTAGCTCTTTACCTGAAGGCGAATCCGACTGCTCATCAGACACCTTTAATGGTGTCAAAACAACACGCGGGACAGTCTTGTTTACCATCATTGAGACTCCATTTCTTCTCTTCTGCTGCTGTCTCAAAGCCTACAAAACATGATAATAAAATGTAATGTAAAAATATAGCCAAAATGATTTCTCATAATGGAATTAAATGATCCATTTGCCCATCATTAGCTACAACCTCTTAAGAGACTTAAATTCCAGAGTCACTAATTGGTCCTGACTCTCAATAGTCAACTTCATGTCATTTTCCCTCAAAAGCAGAAAATCAGGCTTTGGCAAAGGGCAGCAACCTGAGACCATTTGGAGTATAATTCTGAAAACAAAGCAGCGCTTAAAGGTTTGTTCTACCTTAGCCGTGTGGCTTGGGAGCCCATGGAACTTGAAACCATGACTCCCAAGTAAAATAAATGTAAAATAAATGTTTCGAGACCAGGATAAAAATAGATGTGTCTGCACTTCTCTTGCAGGTGCGTCCTCCCCAGTGCACTGCTCGGTCAATCAAGTTAACACCGAGTGTCATCAGTATGTACAGCAGGTAAGGACTATAATATTGATGCACTCACTCAGCCGTGGGGAGCGCGCTGCACAAAATCACTGAACATGGCAGGAATCATTTATTTCTGTGAAGGGAATCAGTCCTAATCTTGGAAACCTTGCAGCACTTGGCTTCTGTCTGCTTGACTTTGGGCATTAACCTTCAGAACACGAACATGATGGCATTCTGGCAAATCCAGGGGAAAAAAAATTGAGATGAGCATAAATCTCTCCAAATGGGAGTGCTTTGTGTTTCATAAATGAATCAACCACGGTGATGATAATGTAATAAAAGACATTTAAAAGTTTTGAAATACAGCTTATCTAGCCGATCGCTTTACACAGAAAATTACCTGTAATAAAAAGGGTCTTCAGCACACGAAACTGAAGAGACATTAAATTCACAGTCACAGGGATGCTAAAACTCCTCAAAAGGTGAAAAGACTGACCACAGACAGCCTCAAACATTTTTATTCCTGGCTTCTGTGTCATTTCTACCAATTTTATAACAACTCAGTTACTTGATTAACGTTCTTCGACTAGAAGTCGCCACAACCTCCTAAAATACTGCCTTGGCTGTATATCCCCTGCTGTCAGAAACAATGTCATTTTATTTGCTAAGGGTATTAGTTGAATGTCCAACTTGTAGATCATAAAATTTAGCAATCAAATAATTACAGGAGTAAAAAATTAAATACCATTTAAATGAGAGAAGGCCTATTCAGATGAGATTTAGAACCGGATGGAAAAGTGGATGGCTTGGGAAATCTATTACTAATGATACTGTGGGCTAATGATAACACAAGCAACTTGACTTCCATTCTGACATCTACTGAACTTTTAGAAAGCACCAGGCACTGCGTGGGGGACCAGGGTTACAAAAATGAACAAACGCCCTCCTCCTCACCTTCAGCTTGCTGTCAATAATATATTTAATGACAGCAGGTGTGCTATAAAATATTTAAGACATTTACCCTTTCTTTCATCAAGGTGTACACAACTGCATAAATCTCTACAGCCTCGTGGAAGAGCTCAGAGCACTTTATACACATTAACCCATCAATCCAATAATAAAATGGAATGAGGCAACACGGTGCCTTATACTACGATTAAGTCCATTTTTACCCACATATAAGACAATAAAACTTGTACAAAGAATGATTAATTTTTAGGAGTCTATACATCATACACTTCAACTACTTCCCTTGGCAATCCAAGTGGATATTTTAAGAGCATTCATTTTATGTTGGGGTGGGTATATATTTGAAAATACTGGTAAGAAAAAAAGAGGTGAAATAACAAAGGGCCTACCTAGAACCTGGAATCATAAAGATGACATATCTTTTTATAGTATTTGTGGTAAATAATTATTAAAGTAATAAAAATTTTGCCCTCAACTTTTAGAGCTGAGAGGACTCTACTATAGACAAATTAGTAGTTGGACAGAAAGGAACCATGACAGAAATAATAATAATAATAACCCATAGTATCAAGGTGGAGCCAAGGTAGGGATAAAGGAGTACTAATCAATGTTGAGACCAATCAATGATATTTTTTCTAAATATGTATTTCCTACTCAGAAATTTGGACAAATATATCTGAATACAGTATTTTTTAAATGCTGAAATGAAACAATGTATCTATAGGTGACCAAAACTAAATGACCACCATACTAAAAAAAATTATCTTAAGTGTATTTAAAATATGCATACTTTTTGTTTTATTTCTGAAAAACATGCATTATATCTGGCCCTGAATAACGTTTCTAGGGGCAGACAGCAAAAACTGGGAAGTTTTTGTTTCCTACGAGGCCAGTCACAGCAGTGAAAGCAGCAAGCTACTAGGCAAACTTGAGGAGCATCACAGCTTAGTTATCAGAAGGGGCATCTCGATCACATTTACTAGATCCACGGTCACTTTAGGCTAACTTGCAGATTCCAGTTCACTTCCCAGAAAGCAGGGTTTATCTGACTCTGGACACTAGGGAAACTTCCAAGCAGATCAGAATGTGAACGGGGGTGGAGAAAACAAGCTCAGTAACTGAGATGTCTGGGACAGTGTGGGCTCCACACAAGAGAACTCTGGCACCTGCCATGGGCATGAGGCAGGCGGTACAGCGGCTCCTACATTATAGTGATTCCTGTTCTCTTGCTGTAGGGTGTTCATCCTGCAAGGAAAGAAGCTAGCTGTTCATGAGTTTTTGGGTTGTGTAACTCTATTTCTGCAACTATGTGCACATCAATCACTCAAACATATGCTGCATGTCTCCTCACAATGCCCTGAAAAATGTGCAATGCTTTTTTGGACATTGGGGTAAGACAATGGCAGAGGGGGAGGCTGAAGTGGCGAAAAAAGTACATACCCCATTGGAGGAGGTAGTAACTACTCAAGAGATGCAACACGACTGGATTTTTAGGTGAGTTTTCCTGTTTTTAAACAAAGTACCAGGCAAAACAAAGATGACTCTGAGCTAAATTCAGCCTGAGGGCACCAATCTTTGAGACCTACTACACACCATTCCCAATGCACCTCACCTCCCCAAATGAGTCTGACCACTGCCCAACAGGTGTGTTAAAATCCCCCTCTTCTAATGTGCTGACCTGCAGAAGATTGGGGACCGGTGCAGAGCCATCTTAATGACTATGTGGGGTGATGGGTTGCAGAGTCAGAGAAAGAATGAAATAATCAGCTGAGTATGCTGGGTAAATTACTTGATTAAAACGTCCCTATGAAACAAAGACAATAGCGTTGGTAAGGTGTTTTAAATAGGAAATCCACAGAACAGTATTTAACGCTATTTGTAGCACATAGTAAATATTCAATAAATATTACTTCTTATATTATTTACCCATTCGGCAATGAATGCATTTTTTGAGGATTTACTCTGTTGGTAGTACACTGCTGATCCATAGTAATGAAAACGACAAAAAAAAATTGTTTTATTTTACATTTTAGCCAAAGACTGACAAGGAATCACAGAAAATAAACATAACAATTTTACACACATACAAGCACTAAGAAAATTATGCCATATCAAGGAGATAGAGTAACTGGGGTGGGAAGAAAAATCACTTGAGAAGTGACAGTGGAGACGAAACCCCAAATGACAAAGAGAACCGGCCATGTGAAGATGGCAGAAATTCCAGTCAGAGAAAGAAATAGTATTAAGACCTCTATCAGGAAAGGTCTTTGGTGGTTCAAGGAATTAATAGCTGGGGTAGCTTGGAAGAAGGACTAGAAGATTACAGAAATGGAAAAGAATTCCCTGAAATGATTGCCAAGGGTTTATATTAGGATCAGGAGATTTATGTTCAAAACAAAGCCACCCCTCAACCCCAGTCTCTCCCCACAGCCTGCAGGGTCCACTCTAGCACTTCTGCCCCAAAGATGCAACAGAGGCCCAGCAAAGAGAAAGCACAGTGTGTCTTCCAGCAAAGGATCGCCCTTGGCCTTTATGCACTGCTTCAGAATACATTTTAAGGTCCCACTGCACGAAGTACATTGCATCTCACACCTTGGACAAGCTTCCTAACAGTTCTGAACATTTTGAGCAATTTAGGGAAGGGGGTCCTTAAACACTCCAGGAAGCCTTCTGCCTCAGAGCCTCTGCATGAATTCTCTTCTGTGCATGGTACACTCTTCCCTCAGACATCCGGCTCAGTTCCTCAAATACTTGAGACTTTACTCATTGCCTTAGCCCATTGGGCTGCTCTAACAATATACCCCAGGCTAGGTAACCTGTAAACCACAGAAATTCAGTCTCCACAGTCTGGAGGCTGGAGGTGGTAGATCACAGTGCCAGTGTGATCCTGTGAGGGCCCCTCCTCTGGACTGCGGGCTTCTCCCTCGCTGTACCCTCACATGGCAGACAGGGGCCAGGGAGCTCTGGTGGGGTCTCTTTTGTAAGTATACTGATCCCATTTATAATGGCTCCATGCTCGTAAGTTAAGCATCTCCCAAAGACCACATCTCCAAATACCACCACATTGAACCTTAGGATTCCAACATATGAATTTTGGGGGACACAAATATTCAAATCACACACTCTTTGCTGCTTTTCCCACCATATTCTCTATCCCCACCATCCACTCTAATTTATTTCCCCCCCATGGAAAATATATTATACCGTGTGATGTCATTTTGTCTTCCCTTCCCCAACCTAGAATACAGACTCCGAAAGACAGGGATTTTCATCTTTTTTTGTTCACTGACATATCCCCAAGTGCCTAGAAGATTACCTAGGCTACCCTAGGTGTTCAGTAAATAATTACTAAGGATAAATAAAAACTCTTAAAAATAATTTTAATAAAAATAGAAAAGCCCTCTTCTCTCTTTAAAATATATAACTGGTTTATTCAAAAGGCAGAAATCAGCATGAAACAATCAAGAAATAATTTTATTCTCTTAATATTGCCTTCACACATTTCTGACCAATTTCCCTTTCTCATTTCTGGACAATATTTTACATAGAACACATAGCTTCTTGGGTCGCCTTCAAGTATTTATACAGTTTCATTTTCAGGCTTAAAAACACGAGGTCTAATATG